GGATCATTTATATTTATATAAGGATTTGAATCCTTCAGGGATTCACATATAATTTCACTACATAGTGAGTAATTGTATTTTCTAGATGCATATGAGATATTTTTATAAATTATCAAACTGCCAGATTGATAAGATACATAAAAAATTTAATTCACCACAATATTGTATTTCTCTTTTCTTGTACAAATGCCCGTTACACTTCAGATGCTTGGGTTAGAGATACACAAATCTCCTGTTATAATGTTGTGTCTTTTCTTTTCTGTTGGCCAACCACTTTTCTGTCTGTATCTCATAACAGGTTTATATAAGATCCTCACTTGATCATGTGATATCATCAATCAAATTATTGTCGACAGTTTTATTCCTTTATCGGTCCTTTTTTTTTTATGACATAATATATCGAGATCTCTTTATTGCTTTCAGACACTTAAACCTCTTCAAGGGTCAAAGAGTTATGTCTTAACCTCTTTTGCAATTCATGCCTCCTTAGTATGATCATCATGATCATTTGCTCCTTTTTCTTTTCTTTTGGAACCAATCATAATCTCATGCTTTTAGCATGTCTTCAAGAATGGGAGCATTTTTGGCTGGAATATAAGAACTAAAAATTCTCATTTGGGTCAGTAATTGCATTTGGCAGACATTAGTAATGTTTTATAAATGCAATACTTTATGAACTTCTAGTTCATACTACTATATTTGAGGATCTACATTTGATAGTGAAAGTGTATTCTATGTGCTCTCTTTTCCAGCTATACATTTTCTCCCCCTCATATTGGAAATATGTAATGTAGGCCTCCCGAATCCATAAATCTCCTTTAGAAATGTTATTTTGTTTCATTTAGAGACAAACAAGAATAAGGAGATTCTTATCCAACATTGATCCCAACTTACTTTTAATATCTATCTATGTGCATTATTACAGTGGAATAATAAATATTACACATTCTAAGATGAAAAATGTCTAGCTTCTGACCAAAAGCCAATTATAATGGGAGAATTCACAATACATTGTTGGCTTGATGTATTTATGTGCAAAAATATATAAAATCAATCATCCTAATACTCAAATGGGAATTTTGTTCTCATAAACTCTGATCTAGCTACTTATGGAGGTTTTTACTAAGCATATAATCATCAGCAACGGGAGGAACAATCACTAGCAATCTCAACGAGAATCATATTGATTTCATAATCAAGAACTTATGTACTCAATGTAATTATCTGAACATATTTGCAAACTTCAGGTTGCAAGTTGATCATAAACACATGTGACCATTTTATTGATGCATCTTTTACTTATAGAGTATTACTTTAGTCCACATGGTGTCTAAATGGGCCCATATATAAAGTTGATACATTATAAATCTGTACGGATCCGATTTTGAGCATAGCTAGTGATGTTCTCTTTGAGAACAAACAACATATAAAAATTCTTGAATCATATATCATTTTTAAAGAATCTTCTGGTTCTTTAATAAATGACAATACACATTTTTCATGATATTTTGCATCATTATGATCCGGGATGATCTGACCAGTCACGCCAAACTATGAATGCATAAACTTCTGGTTTATTGTAAAATTAATTATTGATAAACTTCTTGTTACCATGTTATATTATTTATTTTTCTCCTTAATATTCCATAAGGAATATGTTATCAATTATGAATTTTATCTTCAGGATAATAAATTATGATATGGCTCTTCTAGAGCATTAGTTTTTATCTTTTACCCAAATGATAGAAACCTGTGCACTCATGGAAGGTTGAATGCTACTGCCTCTTCTGGAGCTTTTTTTTCAAAAGGAACATGAGATATAATGAATGACATTAATATTAATAATAACAAATTCCATCCAACATTATTCACACTTGTATTTTAACAATCTCCCCCTCAAGTGTAAGTCATATAAATATATTTTTCTTATTTATGTATTTCAAATACAGTGAATAATATATAGTAAGCTAATAACATATCTTTAACTTGGAAATCCAAATACTTCCTGATTCATATATAATAATAGATTTCAATCCAATTGCGCTATCACCTTGAAACCCTTTAATAAACAAATATTCTAATATATATAGTTGTTCAGGAACTAACATATATTGTTTTTTCACTATATGATATACTTCACTTTTTGTTATACTTTTTCTTTTCAAAATATGAAGTATTTTTTTTGAACAAAATATATATATTTTCTCGATATTTCGTTATTCAAAAACTTTGTTTCTTTGTATATATTATGTAATGCTTCAAAACTTATTCATAAATTCAACAAAAAAATCTATAAGGACTAAAATCAAACTATATATTTAGGAAGATTTGAATCATAAGCCTATATATAAGTAATTGGTCTTTAAGACTCTATACTGGAAACTATATATATTTTTAAAGATCATTTGTGTCACTTCATATTTAAACCATAAGCCTTCAGGGCTTTAAAACCATCATAAGTTATTGTTTTCATGTCATTCAATAACATGAGTGTAATGGCTACTGGCCATTTAGTAATAAGAAAATTATAATATTAATAAATATCAATTTGAATGTCAAAAATATATGAGAATAAGATAAAAATAAAACTTGAATCTCAAATTAATTAAATGTAACATGAAATAAATAGAAAAGATAAACTCTTTTACCAACACATCCTTCACTATATAGTCATTAGTTTTCTGGGCTATATTATTTATAATTCTAATTTTCATAATTTTTCTTTTATAAACAAACCATATAATGATCATTCTCATAGTCAAAACTATATGGCTTCAGGCCATTTAATAAAGAAAATAAAGATACATGGCATCTAGTTATTTAATTTCAAAATTAAAAAAAATTAAAAATATATAGTTTCTGACCATAAGATAAAAATTTGATGTTATATAGCTTCCAACCAATTAATAAAATAAAAAATTAAATATTTATGACTTCTAGCCATAAGATAGAACATCAAAATTATATGGATGCAAGCCATTTAAAAAGATATAGAAAAATTAAAAATTATATATATATGGCTTCTGGCCATAAAATAGAAAATACAAATTATATAGCTTTTAGCCTTTTAATGAGATAAAAAAAATTCAAATATATATAGCTTCTGATAATAAGATAGAAAACCAAAGTTACATGACCACTAGCCATTTTATAAGATAAAAAAATTAAATATATATATGACTTTTGGTCATAAAATAGAAAATTCAAATTATATGGCTTCTAGCCATTTAATAAGATAACAATAATCAAATATATATGGTTGGCAAAAAAAAATAATAATCAAATATATATGGCTTCTAGCCATAAGATGGAAAATTTATACCTAAATACTTCTAGTTATTGAATAAGATAAAATATCAAATATATATGGCTTCAAGCCATTTAAAAAAATAGAAAATTAACCATATATATATATGGCTTCTAGCCATTAGATAAAAACTCAAAGTTGTATAGCTTTTGGCTATAATATAGAAAATCAAAATCATATGGCTTTTAGCCATTTAATTTGAAAAGAATGGAAAATCAGAGTCATTTCTGGCTATTTAATCTCAATAAGATGAAAACTTAGAATTATATGGCTTTTGGCCATTTAACTTTAGATGGTAACTCTTTAAGGATGCTGCTAGTATCCATTAGAACTTCGAGTTCTATCGAAATAGTGACGTCAGGTCAATAAGGAATAGAGGGGGAGAAAAAAAATCATCTCATCATAATTAGTTCGGAAGATATAATATCTATATCAAAATTAAATCATAGCACTAAAAAGTAAAACAAAATCTCTAATTATAGCCATGGAACCCGATGTTTGAAACAACGGTAGATAATCCTTTTAATTCCATATAATGGTTTAGATTATCCTAGATGAATTGAATAGGATTATGGATACTCTGAAACACCATATATGTGATGCTCGAGATATTTTTATTTGAACAAAGCAAAAGATACTCTAGAAAAATAATAGAGATGATGCTCTAAAATTATGCTGGGGTAGAAAGGTATACCATACGCACCTTGGTTAGAACTCGTGCTGATAACGTGTTATAAATAAAAAAAGAGATAGAGAAGAATCATACAGAGGAAGAGAGTATCAATAAGAGAGAGTATTTCTCATTCAATTGAAGAGTGCTCAATAGATTATACATGGCCTCTATTTATAGGCATAGCTTTACACCTTTGATAGAATCTACATATTACATAATAATAGGAGATAATTGTGGAACATAGAGATAATGGGAGATATTAGAGATTATAAGAAATATAGGAAATAATGGGAGATATATGGACATCCACAAAGATATTATTATATTCGCAACAAGTTTTACTATTGATTACATTTGTTTCAAAAATTCAAAAATGCATTAAGTGTTATTGGACATCTAGCAACTACTTTTTGTTAGTTAATTACTACTATTGTGGAATCAAAATTGTATAAAAATAGTTACTAGAATTTTGAAAACAAAAATAGTCAATAATTAAACTAGAATAGTCAGTAGCTATATAAAAATAATCATTGAGAGTAAGACAGTGTTGTAATTTCACAAGATTTTAAAATTTCAAACTAATACCTTAAGTCTAATTTGAAATTTTGAAATTCACCTATTCTCATTTATCATTTAGTATTTTGATAAGTATTTTAGTATTTTTTTCCTAATCAAATCAGCCCTGTAAATCTCTGGCCGGTAATTTACGAATGCAAATCAGGTCAAGTGTGTTTTCACTTTAATTTTTTAATTCCTTGGCAGTTGCCAATTTTGCAGGATCAGGATTCACACTATTCGCGCTTGAAAGGAAAAGTCCAAACGGCCGCTTTCATTTGCCTCACCGAAACTGAGGTTGACCTTCTCGGTCACTATCGGGAGTCTTTTGCTTCGGACAGCTAATGTGGGACCCTTGAAGTGGCGACCATGGTAATTTTTTTCTTTTGGTATTTTACCCTCCTTCGTCTATGCATGGTGTAAAAGTAGGGTTTAGTTTCTCATTAATGTCTTATGGAATTTTGCTTTGGTAGCTAGCTCGATCGATGGTTTTTGTGTAAATGTTTATCTCTTTTCATCCGTTGCACGATATATTTTCCCTAGTTTTGGATTTTGTTTTGTCTTGTATTTGTGTTTGGAAATTGATTACTGCGCGAAAGTTGACGATAAGTTGAATTTTTGTGGCTATTTTAAATAGTAGGGGCGTTATTTTGAATTAACTCTAGCCTTGATTTTTTATGCAAATTTATTCTGGCATTGTGGTCCTTAGTTTTGATAAATTTGTTACCTTTCTCTATAAGCTTGTATTATGCAGATTTAAGTCAAACTTAAGTGCAATATCCGTACGTGAGTGTGCATTGGAGAGATAGTGAGAAAAGATATGCTGAGCAATATAGATGGGATGTGAGACAGGGTGGCCTTTTGACTTGTAGAGCAAGCTTGGCGTGAGTATGTCAGACATTTTGTCTTTGGAAATCTTATTAGTAGGAGTAATCATAGAGGAGATCATCTCGTTTTCTCAATCTGTGCTCACATGTTTGTTCCATGAGGTAATATGAAGGCCTATTGAACATTTTGAAGACCTCATTGACTTGTTTGGAACATCAAGGTAGATCCTTAAATGGGTGAGGCCTGTTATTTCTTCCACAAAGTCATGGGTTCGAGCCTAACAAACTAACATTGGAAATTAGGTTACTTATTCCAACGGATTTGAGGGGTCCAATGGTTCAGTTCAAAGATTAGAGCTTGACTCGAGCAAGACAATCCTCTCTCAAAATTCCAAGAAGGCACAGTTTTACATTATTTATTTATTATTCTTATTATCGAACGAAACATACATTATGATGGAAGGAGTGGTGGTTTGGTGGTGTTTTTCTTCTTTTCATAGGTTAGGGACAAACTGTATTAATGAATTTACTCTTAATGATAAATGATTTTTTGGGTTGTCTTGGCTGGATTGCTGCCCTATGTTTGAAGGCAATATAATGTTTCTATTGTTTGTTTATGGGAACTGCTATTGGATTTTGATGATGAAGTTTTTTCTTTTAGCTAAACATATTTTCTTGTTTATTACATGAAGTCTAAAGAAAGAGCTGTACTGTTTATGGCTTGTGAATAGTATTACTTGCTATGGATTTTATCATATATATATATATATATTGATATATTGATACATTAACATGTTTGTTGGTTTTCATTGCAATTGCTACAGTGAAGTAAGCTATCTATAGTATTTTCAATCACTCAGTGAATGGACGATTTTGATAGGAATTACATTATAAATGAGATATACCCCAATTATTTTTGTTTAATTGAAGTTGTCATCAAACTTCCAGCAGCCCATGGAAAGAAGATGGAACCAAAATGAGGGTGCTGCTGAGGATCAGTTTCCTTTTGTGACATTATAGGGATTTGCATTCTAACTTGTCAAGATGCATTAATTATAGGTTGGGGATCCTAAAAGGCCAAGACAGAGTATTGGAAATCTTGAACTCATGAAGTGGAGAACTAAACCTTGAGTGGTAGGCCCAACCATTAATTTAAAGGAGGACTGGGAATACATTATCTATTACAAACAAGAATTATTATGTGAATTAATCCGTGCTAAATTGTTTATGCATTGTTATTTCTTGTATCTATGTTGATGTTCTTGCTGGTTTTCTTGATAGGAATCTAAACACATCAGCATGCACATAAAAGCCACTTAAAACTTATCTAAGGAGGCCTAAGCATGCCAAGTTAGTAAATAACCCCAAGGAGGTCATGTCAAAATAGGAGATGAAGATAGTAGGGATGAAGTTGATTGAAAGTGGCTATGTTGCGAGAGTAGCGGGTAGGAAGTAACATAGTTGTTTGTGTTGTTTAATCATTCTCTACTGGTTTAGATGCTTATGAGGTTTGGGTATTTATATTAGCAGGGGGAACTGACTTGATCATCTATACTTTGTTTTGAATTATGTGATTAGAGATATTCTACTCTCCACCTTTTCAATAGAGAAGTGTTAAGATGCTTCACTCTGGTTCTGTAGCAACACCCTAATCCCTTTAATTACCCTGCTTCAATCATTTCCTATGCTTCGAAAGGATAAAGCTGCAAATTTTAGGGATTTGAGGGTCTCATGTTCTCATGTCCATGTATTTTTCCTTGGTCCATCAGTGGTTCCCTTGGACTTGGTATTGGTGTTATTTATAGTAAGTTTCTGCTCTCCTGGTTGTATTTTTTACCTCTTTCTATATACTGTCCGTTCCTCTCTTTTTTGAATTGATGATGGTTAGTTGGTTACCCCATGAGAAGTAACAGTGGCTATTAATATCATAGATGCTTGGTAGGATAGTCACAAAGCTGAATTTAAGAAGTTCAATTGAGCCCAGGACTATCAAGCAATTACATCATTTATCATCAGTATCTTCCTAAGAGATTGAATGGGTAAATTTGGTTTTAATTGAATAGTCTGGTGAAAACATTGATCGTTTTTATTATGGAAGACATGAATTTGGAACGTTTTGCAATTTGGCTAGCTCTGATTTGCCAATTAATGTTATGTGATGTCTAGATAATGCTAGTAGATGGCTGAGATGCTTCAATGGCAATTGGGTAATCATGCTTCGTACAATTGCATCGCTATTGGGACAGTTGATGTTAAATGGTAAGAGAAATTGAAATGAATGGTAGAGAGGAATGTATTGCTAAAGTCATTGATTCCTCTTTCTCTAAGAATCTGGTCAGAGAGCAAACTAAGATAACATAAGGTGTGTGCAGATTAGTAAAGCAGAATGGGAAAGCAAGCGGAGTGTGTGTGGTGATGGAGGAGTGATTGGTAGGTATGTTTGAGAGTGTTATGAAGTGTAAGTGAGAGCAAGCAATAAAGTGTGTTTGTATAATTTGTATTTTATGAGTACAATTTTCCCTTTTTTCATTTTCGGCTAATATAATTTTTGGTCATTGAAATTTAGTCCCATTTTGGTTTTGGCCTCTTAAATTTCAAACCCATGGTTTTATTCCCTGGGATTTAATCTGTCTTAAAACGTTAGTCCTTGTAAGTGTAACGATGTTAAAATCTGCTGAAACATTTAAAATGTACTGAAACATTGTAAATGGCATTAAAGTGATGATGTGGACTTGCCAGATAGCACCTAATTGGATCTTACATGGATAACAGGGGAAAAAAAAAAAAAGAACAGGTCCTCAAAACACAATGCAAAGAGCGATTATACAAAGTGGGATGAGTTCTCAAAACGCAGTGTAGTGAACAACTTCTCAAACAAATAGTGAGGAAAAGGGGGCTAAACAACTGCATTTTGAGGGTTTGTTCTTTCTTTGTCCTTTGTTATCCACACAAGATTCAGCTAAGTGCTATCTAGTGAGTCCACAGCATATTTTAATATTGTTACATCTCCATGGATTAACATTTTAAGGTGGATTAAATCTCAAGGATTAAAACCACGGGTTTGAAATTTGAGGAATCAAAATCAAAATAAATCCAAATTTCAAGGACTAAAAATCATATTAATCCTTTTCTTTTCCAAAGAATTTCTTGTTTCTCCTTCTTATTTCTGGCCTAATTTTGAATCTTTTACCCCTAAAATTTAACATGCAGGTGTTTTGCATGAGCTTACAAAAACATTTGTTAACTCTAAGCAGAAAATAGGGTGATTTATGAACATTTTTAAAAATCAGACTTTTCATCAGCCATACATGATTTAAATTTCTACTCATGGCTTGCATCTTGTGCGTGGATATGTTGATGTACTAAGCACTTGCTTCTGCCTTTAATTGCTTTTATGCTATTCTGATCAATTCTATAAAACACCACATGCCTATTGTAGGTCTCAGTTTGTCTCATGTGTGGCAGCGAAGGCTTTCCAGAGTGGTTGGTTTTTTGCAGCAAGTGTCAGGTCCATGCATTGCATAGGTACTTGTTATATATCCTTTCCTTCCTACAAAGCTCCCATGAATCTACTTTTTGGGGTGTAATGTTTCAAACATGTCAGACTCTAGCACTGATCCATATTTGACATGCATACAAATTTTTCTGGCCAAAAATAAATATTTTCATTTCTGATTCACATAATATATAGGTTGTACGTGGGTGACAAAAAAAATTGGGTGAACAGCCATAGGAAAGTAGAATGATGAGGTCTAATCTTAATGAGATAATTAAGGTTCTTTCTCCTAGTATTTTTTTTTTAATCTTTTTTATGCGTGAATAATTTGAATGATATGGTTTTACCTTTTATGATTTAGTAGATATTTTTTCAAGAACGTAATATTTAAAATATCTATTATATGTGACGATACTGGTTGTTTTTCTATCTAGAAGTATATCCCTAATGAAATGGTTACTTTAGGATTTTAATATGATGAGATATCATATGCACATGCATGTGTGAGAGATAGGGCATAAAATCAAACAAGATAGCTTTGCATATTTTATTGCGTAGCAAGTAACATATTTATTCACCTTGTGTGTGTGAGATAGAGCTTGCCAATGAGTCCATTTCTTTGTTGTGTTTCAAGTTAGTGCTTTTAGTTAGTCCATTTTTCTTGCAAGCTTGGATGCCCATATATCTATTTTTGCTTTGCCCATGGCTATCAATGCCACTATATCTAACCGCGTGTGAAATGTAATCATAGTTTTCATTCAAGTGAATTAGAAACGTGAGTGTACCTATTGATATTGCTGAAGCTGATGGATGAACTGCAGTTGAACTTCTTTGTTTCTATTTTTCTCTCAGTAACTTGATAGTGTAAAAATCCCAAGATTTGACATTTTATAGCTAAAATTCAGCAATTTTAAACCCCTTTGGCATTTGATTCCTGAATTTTTTTTTTTTTCCCTCCCCCAGATATTGCCTTGATGGGCCTACAATTTTTGATGATGATGTTACATGGTTTTGTGAGGATTGTGAACCTGAGAAGCCACAATCTCTTGAAAATTCCACATCTCTCCCACGCAGAACAGGACATAATCGAAATTTGGAAAGAGATACAATTGCAGCCTACTCGAAGCACAAGAATCACATAAAAAGAGTGAAGAAAAACTATAGAAAGCAACAAAAGATTATGAAGAAGCAGAAGGATTTAAAAGATGCCTCTGGCTGTCTTGATGAACCAAAGGTGGCATTACCTAATTGTTCTAATTCAACTTCTCATGGCCATCAAAATCACTCAAGGAGGTTGAAGAATAACAATCATAAGGAAGAAAAGAAGTGTATGAAGAAGCACAAGGGAACTACTGATATCTCTAGTTATGTCAATACAAGACAGGAGTCATCTCCTAATTGTCACACTTCTAATCATGATCGAATTTGTTGTAGTGAGCATTGGGATCAGACTTGGTGTAGTGATAAGGAACAAAAGAAGTCTATGAAGAAGCACGAGGAACAGAAGAAGTTTATGAAGAAGCACAGAGAAAAAAATAAGCTTATGAAGCAGCTCAAGGAACAAAAGAAGCATGAGGAACAAAAGAAATTTATGAAGAAGCGTGAGGGGATTGTTGATATCTCTGGTTTTGTCAGTATAGGACAGGAACCATCTCATGATTGTCACACTTCTAGTCATAATCAGATTCAATGTAGCGAGCCATGTGATCAGACTGAGTGCGGTGATAATTTTGAAGACACTGTTAATTCTGGCAAGGTGTCCGACCTTGTACAAAATTCTAGAGTATTTTTGAATGATACTGTAAATGCTAATAAACTAGGTTATTGGGCTGATGCACAGCCTGTTGCTCAACCAATCTGGAGGTAAGGAATTTGTGTTGTGGCCATTTTGGAATGTTGAGCTTCTTAGTTTGTGGTTGACGTTGTTTGTTGTTGAATTTTCTGGTTAAAAGGGGAAGCTTCTTCATCTGCAGCCAAGGTATTAGTGGTCCCGTTAGGGGACTTGTGGCTCATGCGTCCACTTTAGCTTGTTCCAAAGTTTTGGATGAGACAAAGCTGCTCCCAGAGGTACTTTGTGCAGATGTGCTTAATCGATCCACTGTGTGGCCCAAAGGTTTCAAGGATTTGGGTCCAACCACAGAGAGTATTGCTCTTTATATCTTCCCTGAAACTGAAAGGTGATGCTTTAGGCAAGGTTAATAATATTCATCTTATTCTACTCTTTATAATAAGGGTTTTGAATAAATGTTACTTGCCTTTGCAGAGATGAAAAAGCTTTTGACAGGCTGGTTAATGACATAATTTTTCTTGACCTTGCAATAAGAGTGGAAGTTGTAAATGCAGAGTTTTTAGTGTTTCCTTCTACCGTGCTCCCCACCCAATGTTGGAGTGAGCTTCATTTATTCTAATTCTTCAGTGGTAAATTTTTATCCATTTATTTGGCGAAAGTTAATTTGTATATTGATTTTTTGTATTACCTTCTGGGCAGGACTTAATGCAAAGTATTATCTATGGGGTGTCTTTAGATCAAAGCAAGCTTCAAAGACAAACTGATCACTGATATAGAAATGTGCTTTGCTTTTTTTTCAATCTTATACTTTAAAGGTAGACTCGTTGATATGATTCTAATTCTCACAGTTACTGTTTTTTATTTATAGATGTAGTAGTTGTGTCCACAGTTGTCTCTAAACCTTGCGCAAAATTATGGTGGGATGATAGAAATTTGGGGTGGTGAAAAAAGCAAGCGTTTTGATGACGTGTTTCCTTGTGGGAGCTTTCTTATTTAGTAGGGATGGCGAGAACCTGATAAAAGTAGTTAGGGAGAATTAATTGTGCAAATATCTTGTTGATTATTACTTGTTTTATTCTGCCAGTTCTAGCTTTTGTTTAGGGTAATTTTTTTTTCCCACTGATTTAAATATGTAAATCAACTCTTCCATTCTCCTCGATTTAGACATCCGTGGTTCCTCTCCTCAGGTATTTCTCTAAACTTTGGTAATATTTCTCTCCTAACGGTATTCTTTCACTGCTCTGTATGGCTGAAATATGCTGTTTTTGCTTTATCAATATTGGAGTTACCAGCTAATGTGGTTGGGGATCCGAATCTAAGCTCTATATGTATGTAGCGACTTAGGAAGGGGATTATTATTTGCCCTCAGTATTCTAGGAGAGACTAGTTTCCGTTCTTGCTAGGGTATAATCTTAATGTTTCACCCCAAAAAAAGGTATAGAAAGTATTGACACAAACATAGCTTTATTCGTCCTTCTTTTTTCCTTTGCTTTCCAAGGGTTTGTTATTCAAGTTGTGAGTATAATACCCACGTCAGAAACTCGAGTCCAAAAATTGCTCCATCACTGCACAGCCTTATTGATCTTTCTGAAATGAAAGGTAAAAGGAACAGAAAAGAGACTAGGGAATATATGTTGTTATAAGCCAGAAATTGTGCAATTTACTTCCAATCTAATGCACTACATTGGGTTGATTTCTTGCTATATGTTAATGGGTTTAGTTGCAAATTTGCTTCAAAAGTTCTTTTGAAAGCGTTGGACATTTAGAAGTTTTTTTTCCTATTAATTTGTCATGAAGGTTTAAAATCGTGACAATATTACCATATACTGTTAAAAAATTTATCTATCATCGTCTTTTAATAGTAAGGGATGATATTGTTATGATTTTATATTTTTGTGGCACATTTGCATCAAAAAATTAAATACCCAATATTTATGAGTGAAAACTTTTGAAATAAATTTTTATCTTAACCTTATATTAGTATGGCTAGATTACATAAAGCTTCTTTAAATATGGAACAATGTATAATTAACCTTCTTATCTTAATTGGGACTAGAAGTCCACTTAGCCTTAATCGGGTGGGGTAGGCTTCTGCCCCACTTCTTCATGAATAAGGTTTAAATTTTCAAAATTAAGTTTTGAAATTTTAAATGCTTATATCTTTTCTAAGGAACCGGTTTTAATTTTAATCATCTGATTGTTCGAGTCTGTTTGCTGTTTTGAGATTTATGGTGTGGGTTTGAAAATTTTGGTTTTAAGGGAAGTAACTAAACAGACACAAACTGAAACCTTATATTGTGATTATTAAATTGGAATCTTGTTAGGCTGAATCAATTTCTTTTTTTTGTTTCAAAAAAAAAGGCGAAATAATCATTGATAATTTTTGATGTTTAGTTTTGGACAAAATAGTGTTATTCAATTTCGTTAACAAACAAAAACAAGATATGTATTTATATCTGACAATAATATTTCTTGGGGGAATGACACGCAAGAAGTGGCGTTGGGCCCACATTATCTATATAATTTGTAATTTCTTCAATCTTGACTACAAAAATTAAATAACTAATTTACATATATTAATTGAATTAGTTATCTTATTTATAAAAAAAATGTTACATATCGTAAACTACGCTTATTATTGAAAATTTTTTTCGTATATACAATTAATTAGGATAGTTTAAAAATAATAATAAATTTGGAAAACAAGGTACAAGATCTTATTTAGAATCAAAATAATGTTTTTAACTAACTTTTATATTTAGGGTAATATTTACTATTTAGAAAAATACTTGATGATGGGTTTTTTTTTTTTTTGGGCCTGAACTATATTACTATTAACAAGAGTTTTAGCTTCTCCTTTAAGTCAAAGCCCTTTTTTTTTAGGATTACATGTAATAGGCTAGGCCCAGGCTACAAAGAGGTTCAAGGATAAGCCTACGAGGGCACGTTCGAACAAGTGTGAAACATTTTTTTACATTTTACCAGGGACTAAGAGCGAACCCTACAACATCAAAAAGCCCAAACAAAATGGAAAAGGGGAAGCCTATGTGAACGTATTCCTAATTGTTTGTGTTTCGGTAACCAAAAATTTTAATGAGTTCCGAAATCTTTCCAGATCAAAATGAGCATATATAGAAGATTTAGTGGAAAAAGTTAGTCTATCACAATATCACAATGGGGTGAACTAATATTTGAATTTTTTCTTAGGAGATATACTCATATTTAGTGCTCAATAATATCTCGAACATGATTAGCTTGAATGTGATAATACTTGTGTTTAGGGGGGGGGGGGAAGAGCATCATGACTTAAAGGGCTTAGTAAAAATGCTTATAGATTACTTATTAAATGTGTCGTCACATTAACAATAAAATTTTAAGGTCCTTATTATTCATTCTTCCCGTTTCCATTCTCATTCCTTCTTCAAACATAACAAACCCACAGATAGTTATGATTTAAGTTCCTGCCAACTAGTGATTAAAGAACCAAAAAGTCTAACTGGTGGGACTGTTGACCAGACTCATTAATGGCTCAATTTGGTTTAAAAAATTGTTTTGATGGTTCGATTAAGTTATATTGGAGTTGATCAGCCGTTGAATTGAAACCCAGAATTATATTGAAAACCGGAACGATTTTAAAAAAACTGGACGATTTTCTGGCCTAATAAAAAATGACAAAAGAATTTAAAAAATTGACCCTATATCAAAAGGTCCAATATATTTTCAGACTATTTGCAGTAGTCATATAATGTTATTTCTTTAAAAAATTTCATATATTATGGTGTTATTATGTTGACAAATAAGCTTATTGTATGAATTTATTTCTTATGTGTGTCTAATTATTTTTATTAAATTTTTGTTCAATTATTACATCACCAGTACAACATATTTTCAGTTAGGCTTCCTGATCAATAATGCAATGCCAATTTCTCATGATTAAATAGAGCAGAACCAAAATCTGGACCACTATAAGGCGCACATACGTAATTTATATACATACATACAAACATTTATATACATACATATATATATGTATATATCACGAGCCTCAAGTATCCACAATATTCATAATTATCAACTCAATATGTACATAGTCCACTAGCTTTCTTGTGATGTATCAGTGAAATGATTGAATCTCCTCGGTCATCAACCAATTAGATTAAAACATTCATTAAAATCTGTCTGTTACCTCGTTTCCTTGTCTCCTTGTTTTTTTTCAGCCATTTGTTTTTGCCTTGTTGGAGTTTTACACATGCTCGTTTGTGTTTGTATTGTGAAGGATTACCTAACATTTGATTGTTACGGTTTGAATCAGTCGATATGGTTATACTTTCTTCTACGGCGTTTATTAATTTAAAATGTTTAGGTGATGATGGGAACTAAAAAAAAAGGTTTGCATAGACTTGTGTTTTTGTTTGATTATTGGAAGATGAACTTGCATTATCTCGTTTCATTGGAATATAAGATATTCCTTTAGTCCTTAATATAAGACTCAATTCTTGAGTTGATTTTGGTCCTAAATATAAGACCTATTTCTCATATTTATCAATTCTCTCTAAATTATCCTTATGATACTTTCTCAACCATCATCAAATAGAAGAGGGAGATAAGGTATTAAGAAAGATGATTATGGTGTTTTAGAAAAAATGTGTCACTTTTCTTATAATTGACTAACTTACCTAACTTTCTTAATTTAATCAAATTAGTTAAATGGGTCTTATATTAAGGATTGGAGGAGTATATTTAAATTTTAAACAAAGACGCTTTTTTTTTTAATATAAAAAATATCAGACCTAAGTTCTAGCGAGGCATGACTTGTTTGAAATTGAGTGATAAACTCTAATATGTATTTTAAACAAAAAGCTCAACACTGTAAAAATAGCATTCGCAAACAACTAAAATTCACTCGTTACATACAATTATTAATGAAGAGAGGTTAGGTTGTACAAAATATTAACATGGCATTATTTTCCTTATATTTGGTTAGATTATAATTGGGTTTTCTGAAAATTTGTATATATATATATATATTACTGTATGCACTATAAATTATAAATCTCTTTAATTTGTCTGATATGTGATATATATCTATATAATAAATATGTGATAATTTCTCTAGGGTGTGGGGTGTGTGTTACAAAAGCTGTTTTTTTTTTTATTTGTATTCTATCCACATAGTTTACTCTTTTATGTAAGACCTATTTTAATCTTAATTAAAATGATAATAATCTCAGAAGTTAAATTAAAATTGTTCGGCTTCAACATATATTGTATTGTTATATTATTAGGTTTAATACCATTTTTAGTCCTTATGAAATTTAGTAACCTCATTTTTTTTGCTCCTGAAATTTGAATAAATAAGAGATTTTAGTCTTTAAAATTTGATTTTATTTTGGCCAGCCTAACGAATTTTAGTCCATGGAACAGTGGTTTTTTTTCCCCTTGAAATAATGAATCAAAACTACTGATTTCAAATTTTAAGAACTTAAAATGAATGATATTAGCCCATTTTGTTATATCCCAATAAAAATTGTTGAATTATATCGCCAGAGTTCCTTGGGTGACATCAAGCTTTCTTCAAGCACGGAAATGTAAGATATGAGATTAGGGTGTCATAAAATAATTTTCATGTTTTTTTTTTGTTCGTGTGTGTGTGTGTGTGTGAGAGAGAGAGAGAGAGAGAGAGAGAGAGAGTTCGGGCAGTACACTCTTGGAACATCATTAGCCTCTTTGACCTTTTAGGCTCTTCCATTACCAAAAGTTAAAAAAAAAAAAACATTAGGGCCCATCTATGGGCATGAAAGACATCATGTGGCCAGCTGTTTACCTTTAACTGGAGGTATCATGATAAGAGAATTAGTTGTTGCCATCGGGTGTATATCAAAGAAAAAAAAGGGAAAATGGCAATTAGGTCCCACTCAAGGGAATTAAATACAAAAAAGTTTCTTAAAATCATGAAATTATTTTAAAGTCCTAAAAATTTTTTTGTATTAAATTTTATTTGTTTACTTACCAAATTACCCTTCTTTCTTCTTTTTTTTTTTTAAAGTTTGCATTGACAACTGCAAGAGCAGTGGTTGACAACTCAGGGTGCAAGGATTGACAACTATCGCGGCTGGTTTGACAACTTATGGCTGAGAAAATGTGTTGTCAAACCAGCCGCGATAGTTGTCAATCCTTGCACCCTGAGTTGTCAACCATGCTCTTTC